CGCTTTTAATGACAACGTTTAACATACCAAATTGTGGAGACTATGTTTAATCTATTCTGATAATGATGACTATGGTTTTGGTTTGCAAACCTCCTCTCCATGTTTAAAAATTTTGGCATTTACCCACCACGTCCCCGCGTCCCGTCGTTCTTGCAAGTTAATTTTAAAAGATAGACGTATAGTATCGCGGACATTTTTTGAGATCTATTAAAGAAAAATAATTCTTTCATATATATTTTTTTGGGTTAACCGTTTTGTTTCTATGCGACGAAAACCCACAAGGATGAACAATTTTCCCCGTTTTTTCCACATTTCCCGCTGTTTTCTCACTCCTATTAATCACAGCGCAAGGTTTTATAGCCTATAGCCATTCTCGATAAATGCTCTAACCAACATAAATAGAATGTTTTAATTCGAACCAGTAGTTCCTGAGATTAACGCGTTCAAACAAACAAACAAACTCTTCAGCTTTATATATTAGTATAGATTATGTCTGTACTACAAAATGTTTACGACTACAAATAAAAGCCAATTTAATTCCTATTTCGTGTTCACCCTACTCAAAGATTTTATTTGTTGATGAAAACGTAAAAGTTGTGTTCTGCGGTTCCGCATTATCGCATTTAGAGCGGGACAGATGTATAGGCGATACGTAGTGTTAGAGAGAGATAGAGATGGTAGTGATTTTGGGGATTACGAGGTGACGAATGTCGCTCGCATTTAATGATTGGTTGGCGATGTAGCTTAGGAGCCGGCGACATTTTGATAAAACTTATTACAATATTTATTGACAAAAATTTAATATTAAAAATTAATTAAGTAGCTTGTCCACGTTGAAATATATTGAAATTAATATGAAATAATTTACTTGCAGTTATACGCATACTTTTTAATAATTTCTATATACATAAAAGTTAATCGCGACCTTAAGTGGGCCGTGGCCTCCACAGCAAGAGAACGCCACTTCCGCCGATCCCGCGTCATAGTTCGAAAATTTATTATAACACGTATCTATTTTAATTTGTTTAAAGACTTTGATCAAAGGTTGAAAGAATATTTATCACTTGTTTTTTACTAGTTACTTTAAAGTCTTGATCGTTATTAATGAATACTGAATACTGTCTATAGTTTACGCGAGTACTACACATTTAAATAAAACACTAACCGTTTAACGCGATATATTAGTTAAACTTATTTGAAAATGATTTTTATCTTCGGCCCGACGTTCCGGATGCTTTGCAGTAGCCGTGGTCACGGGGAGATTTTAGATTATAAAGTGGTGTTACTAAGCACGAATAGAAGCAATAACTCGTACACCGGCTCTCGGGCTGTGATTGGTCTCGCTAATGACGTCTTGAAGTGACAGACGTCATGACGCGCGACACCCATTCAAACGGGATCACTCGTCTCTCTCTGTCAGCGGCAGCGGCGGAAATGCGGGCTCTGGAGAGAAAAGCGGATTTGATCGAGTGTTCTATAAAAGTCAGGACTTTTTCATCGTAAATCGTGACACTTTCATTTATTTCTCTTTAGTTGTTTTGAAAAATTCTAAATTAAAAATCTGTTAACTTGAACTGGAAATCTTTGCTGCACGCTGTGGATGTTCAAGCCCCGTCCGATATTTCTATTTCATAATATAGGCATAATATATTTTCTATGATAGAGTAAGATAGTCAAACGTGGGTTTAATTTGATGCGCGCTGTCATCCTATTTAGGCTTTGGATATTGGGATTTTAGAATTTTATATTGGACATCCGGAATTGCACGACCTGAAACCGAAACGCGTGATACTTCGTAGCTTTTCCAACTTTCCAATGTGCTTTTTGACATTCTCACGACGCATTTGGTGTCCGAATTCTGGACTACAACATGTTTTGAAAAGTTACCATTACAATAATGTTGTGTCTAATTTGAATTCTGACCGCCTCTGTAGCCGAATCGTTAAACGTAGCATTGCGTCGAGCGCGAGAAGTCGTGCGTTCGAATCCCAGGGAAACAAAAAAAAATTGTTTCGGTCGGGCAAGGTACATAAGTCTGATCAACTACGTGCCCGTTAACAGAACGGATCATTGAAACGGACAGAGAAATGTGTTTGCCCCATGCCCCACGAGGGGGAAACGGGCTTTAACTTTTAGTAAGCCCCACTGGTCTATATTTCCGGCTACGAAAAGAAAATTACTCTTATTAACTTCATATCATTTAATCAACGGGTAATAACTTAATGGCCTTATCTCGTCTCTCACTGGATATCTATCTCGTAAAAAACCACCAACCTCATCAAACGAAAGTCAGTTTTAATGCAAAGCAATAAGATTTAAATTTATTAAACAAATTTAAACAATTGGTCTCAATGTTATTGGAAATACAACTCTACCACTATAGAATACGGTTGAAAGTCATTTTCGATATAAGGATAAATTCAACCCCTCGGATGCTTATGTGGAGTGCGGCATCAAGAAAATGTATTGCGGTCTTTTCGGTCTAATTTTAACTTTAGTGCTATACAGATAAAATACATTTTTGTGTGAACGATCGTGAGGTCGTAAAGCTGTCTAATCATCGTCATCGTGGTGTTGAGAGGGAGATAAGATGAAACGCGTGATGATGATATTGGTGTCCTCATCTCTTGTGCGTTAAGTAATGATTTTATTATCTGATTCTGATAATATTTTAAAGGTACTTGAACAAAAGGTACTTCAATGATACTAGGCATTTTTTGACGGATTGCATTTGCTACTGATGTATGATTTGAGCTAGCTTTTATAAAGCTAGCTCAAATCACACATCAGCTAGGTATGAAGTCAGTATTAATTTGATACTTTAATATTGAAATTAAACATACAATACGATTTGTACACACCATTACTGTCTTTAGTTTACGTGAGTAGTACACATTTAAATAAAACACTTTAACGGTTTAAAACGCGATATATTAGTTAAAAAAGAGGTTTAAAGTTAGGGAGTCTCCCCGTGACCACGGCTGCTGCAAACTATCCGAAACGTCGGACCGAAGTTAAAAATCATTTCCAAATAAGTTTAACTAATATATCGCGTTTTAAACCGTTAAAGTGTTCTATTTAAATGCACACAAAGTTCGTAATTTAAGTATTTTAAAGGTTCGAGTTCCTTAATTTTCTTTTTATTTCGATTTGATTTTCTTTATTTTTACGTTTATATAAAGCATTACTTGGTGTTAAATAGCCAAGCCTCTATCGACAAACAACACGTTTTTTTTTCAATTCAACCCAGTAGCTCCTGAGATTATTTCAACAAACGGACTCTTCAGCTTTATATTATATGTATAGTTTTACTTACGAATCCATAAGCCACATAAAATACAAAATAATAATACTTTTTAAAACTGCTAAAATACTTGAAATATTTTTGAATAAAAATCCAAGTCCCCATTCGTATTAAAACACTTCGACTCTCGAAACAAAGGCATTCCGAAATCTCATATCAAACTACTTACCGTTAACCGTCAAAGTGAGTCACAAAACAAACAAATAATAGTTCCGCACAAAAGTTTTCGCTCATTGTAGAAAAAGCGCGCGAGCGCATTGTTGCGTCAACATTCATTTCTTTCCGCCGCCACCTGGCCTGCATGTTTTATTTTCATTAATGTTGTACGAATCTAAAGTACACTTCGTAATCAATTGGACCACTTATAACAGTTTAAAACGGGAAATATTAACAAATATTACGGTGCTGCACTTAAAGCACCCAAGAGTTAAGTTTAAAAATGTGTAGATTTGCATTTTAAACCGTTAAATGTGTATTGTTTTGTTGTTGCATGATTATTATTATGTTGATATAACTCGAATATTCGGTAAGAATGCATTAATTTCGTTCATATTTCGTTCCTTTTCTATCTAACAAAAAAATGTCTATTGGAACCAGTAGTTTATGATATTAGCGTGTATAAACAAACAAACAAACTTTTGGACTTTATATTATTATCTATAGCTTTATATCTAATCCGCGCGTAACCACACTATTGATGCCATATATTACGTCACGCCATATATATGGCATCAAAATTACATAAATTTATTAAAAAACGCCGCGGGCCAAAAAGACAAATTAATTAATATTCCGGTATTGAAGTCCACACGAGCATATTTTACGGGTTAGTTCAGTTTTATGCGGTAATTGCTTCCAACAAACAATAGATATCGAGTCAACCCCATTTTATTGTTCTCTTTGTTTTAAGGGAAGTTTTTATGCTGTTGTTTAATATAATCTTAAACTTGTGGATGACATTAAATTAAACAATAATTCGTACGGTGTTAATTAAGTCTGTGGTTTGGAATAGTAGTATACATTAAAATGAACATTATCCATTAGTCTCCCCGTGACCACCATGCTGCAAAGCATCCGAAACGTCGGGCCAAACGCAAAATAATTTTCAAATAAGTTTAAGTAATATATATCGCGTTTTAAATTATTATTATTATTTAACATTACCCTGTAATTGTACGATAAGTTAGATCAAAGCTTTTTTTTTATTATAAATTTTTTATATGCTTGTCAACCGTGGTTGTTCTAGCATTTAAGTATAAGTTTAGTAGTTAAAAATAACGAATTATATATATTCCTGAATTTAAACCGTTAAAATTGCTTTATTAGAACCCTCATAAAACCCTCCAAGCTATATAGGTAAAATGTGTTTCGACTTTATCTCAATCTGTTCGCCTTGCGTTTTATAGACATTTTCTAAATCAAAGAAACCCGAGGCAAACAGTACAACACATATAATTAGTAATTAAAGTGGATTTCAAGTCTGAATACGATTGAAGGGCCCTCTTCCATTCCGTGCCATTCACGGAGCGCAATCCGTACGAATGTTTGCAAACGATTTCTGTACAAAGGCGCCGCGGTTCGAGGGAACACCCCTTCCAATTTAGTTAAAACAAGCGTCGCTCTAACCGCGACACAATGCGACACTCCCGCGTATTGCTGCATCTACTAACAATGACGTTCTCCGCAGGTACTCAGAATGCAGCCTTTCCAATCGACGACGCGCCCCGAGGGCCCCCGCGAATCGTCCCCGGAGAGGGCGAAGTCCCCGGACACGCCGACGGCGCCCGTGCTCAACTTCTCGATCGCGCGGCTCATGGAACCGGATCGGAAGAAGTCGGTCTCACCGGAACCGTTGCCGCAGCCGAACTTTTTATCGTACGGAGCGCATTTGCTGGATTCGGCGTTCAAACAGTACATACCTGCAGCGAGACGGCAACTGGTATCACATTACCCTCTCCTATATTATGGGCCGGACCTCGTCTCCCTAACGTATGCCCATCAGCTGCATTTACCTCGGCCGCCGCCGGTTCAGTCGCCCGTACAAAGACCCCCAAGTCCGCGGGCACCGGCTGCTGACCATGCAGTGTCATCGACGACTGGTCCGACACCATCACCTGCGAAGAACAAGAGCTTCGCGTGTGGAGACTGCGGCAAGGTCTTTAACGCTCACTACAATCTCACCAGGCATATGCCAGTCCACACGGGAGCTAGACCCTTCGTCTGTAAGATATGTGGCAAAGGCTTCAGACAAGCGTCAACACTGTGCCGACATAAAATCATCCACACGTCCGAGAAGCCCCACAAATGCATGACCTGCGGTAAGGCGTTCAACCGCTCTTCAACCCTGAACACCCACGCCAGAATACATGCTGGCTATAAGCCGTTCGTCTGCGAGTTCTGCGGCAAGGGCTTCCACCAGAAGGGCAATTATAAGAACCATAGGTTGACCCACAGCGGTGAGAAGGCGTACAAATGCAACATTTGCAACAAGGCATTCCACCAGATCTACAATCTGACCTTCCACATGCACACCCATAATGAGAGGAAACCGTTCACTTGTAACATATGCGCGAAAGGTTTTTGCAGGAATTTCGACCTCAAGAAACATACGAGGAAATTGCACATGGGCGCTGGTAGCTCCAACAACGAGTCGTCTCTGGATACTCAAGACGAGTCAACGCAAGAGGCGACCACGAGCGCCGGAGAGGAGAGCGGGAGGGCTGCGTTCAGACCGTTTCTGGGTTCGTCCTACCCTCGTATCCTAGATCCAGCGCGCATGACTGCGCCTAACGCGTTTTTCTCAAAGCTTTTGTGACCCGGGAATTATTTCAACTTTGGCGATCGTAACGAATAACGTGTGGAAGGATTTGATTATACAAAATGTATATTTATTGTCTGTAAATAGGTAACAATTTATTGTAAATTGAACTTAAATCTATATAACAATTATCGTACTAATAGAGAATATAATATAGATCGCTTAAATGATATAAAATCCCACCTACTGAATTGCATAGATTTTGTAAATAGTTGTAAATATTTAAAGATTTTGTAAAGATAAGTCGACAATTCGAAAAACTATTATAAATGTTGTAATTACATAATCATTTTGCTTTTGAAAACTTTAATATTTTTAGATGCATTGCACATGAAGCCTATATAATTTTAAAATCGGAAATAAGTTGAAAAAAATTTCGACCAAAAACCCTCGGGCGGATTTGTGCAGGACAATCGGACTCGGTAGGTCAATTGGTAGAGCAACAGCACTGAACGCTGACTTTGCCGATTCAAGTCCTGCCCGAGTTAATTTTTTTTTCAATTTATTATTGATTTTAAAATCATTTTACTTAAAAGCTTCAGTGTGTTGGATTATATAAATACTGTACCTATGATATCATTATACCAAATCAAAGATAGAAAAAGTTTTTACGGTTCCCTTTGGAGGTTTTTCATATGTAATGAGACACTCTACAAAATTTCATCAATTTTTAGTTCAGTTAATTCATTTCGTCTCAATGTATGCGTAAATAAATATATTATGCTGTATTTTGAACAATCAAAATTTTAACTAAACTTATCACTAATCTTAATAGATAATTATTGTGATTCTTATATTGATAAGTAATATTAGCTTATTTGAGATATTATCAAAATGTAAATATTTTAATTATATTTAAAATGCAATACGTGTATGTATATTATGAAGAATTAAATATTAATAACACTATTTTATAGTATTATTTAACACGAATTTCCTGTTCAAATTCAAAATCAGTAGTTTAAATACGGTCCGTATTTTACGGGAGTAGTACACATTTAAATAAAACACTAACGGTTTAGCCGGGATCACCCCGTGACCACGGCTGCTACAAAGCATCCGAAACGTCGGGCCGGAGTTAAAATTATTTTCAAATAAGTTTAACTAACGCTTGGACGGTTTGAAACGCAATATAATATATATAGATATTGCGTTTCAAACCGTTCAAGTGTTGATTCAAAATAATACCTTGTCAGGTTAAGCTTTGAATCAGGAATCATGGAGTCGTAGGTTCGATTTCCACCGTGTTTAACATGCGTTTGAAATATGTCAGACTTCGTCTAGAACTCTATACAATCTGGATTTGCTTATTTTTAAAGCCGTTATTTCCGCCCACTACAAAAGTCCGTTGGCCAATTTTTTAAACTCTGTTGGGGATCAATTTGGTAGTGATTTAGCTAAATAATATTATCGCATAGTATTCAAGCTGTGCATTGTGAGCTGAACAGTCGAAATTACAGCTTTTGCCCCGCCCCGCAGCCACTGAACTGGCTCTCAAACTGTGGGGTTATAGTTTGGTGTTATTATAATATAATTGGGTAAGTATATTTCGCCTTGAATCTTAGGTATAAACTTGTCAAATCCGTGTACCATGTACGAGGGAAGGATAGGTAGACACATTTTGTGTACTTTTAGCTGATTGGTTGTATAATAGTAAAAGAGTACACATTTAATTTCATTTATATCAAAGTAACAAATATTTCGCTAGGATTCGAAGTAAAGACCATTTCCAATCATTTAATAAAAAAAAAAAAATAGTGAATATACCTACTAACTTCTATAATGTTTTGACTGTACTTTCTAGCCGTGGGAGTAGAAAATAAAATTATAAATTTTTTTATTCACATAAAGAAACAAGATATCAAGCCAAAAAGGTCCTCTTTAATCCAGAAATTAGCATATTTAATAATTAAAAAACACTTATAACGGTTTAAAACGCGAAATATTAACTAATTTACTTTCCGTACATAATACATTTCTCGTTTTAAACCGTTGAAAGTATGTGAATGAGTACTCTCGTAAACTAAAAAAAACACACTTTAAATGGTTTAAAACACGAAATATTAATTCAATTACAATTCACTCTACGTACATGGCACATTTCTCGTTTTAAACCGTTGAAAGTATGTAAATGATGACTCCCGTAAACTACAGATGTTTTTTAGATTTCATATTGAGCAGAAGTTTGAGAAACGCAACAACACGACATTTGAGAAACGCGAGAGGCATCGGAGAACAATGATAATTATTGTTGTAATAAGAGTGAAGTCAATTCACACTGCGCTTTTGTACGAGCGGAAGTGGGACCAACCGACGCGTGGTGGGCCGAGGGGTCTGCGCCTTTTTGACGCGCGAATTAAAAAAAAACTGAGCCAGTCGTTTGCCCGATACGTAACATTGCTAACTAACTAAAGTAGTAACTTACGGGTCTTGGGTTGCATTCCCATCGTGTTCAGTATAGATTAACATCCGAAAAATACTATGGCATGTTGGGGTCTTTAAATTTCAGATTAAAAAGCCAAAATAGGACGACAGCACAAAGTTACTAGATCATAGATACTGTCTATAGAGTACGTGAGTAGTACACATTTAAATAAAACACTTTAACGGTTTAAAACGCGATATATTAGTTAAAATTATTTGAAAAATGATTTTTAACTTCGGCCCGACGTTTCGGAAGCTTTACAGTTACCGTGGTCCTGGGGATTGTATCTTTGTTCATAGATTTGTATTTAAATAGGTTAAAAATGTTTCTTTAATATATGTAGTGTTACAAAGTGTAAGTACCTATAGATATGGTATGTTGATCCTAACATATACACTTCTTTCTAGCTAAAAAACGCTATAGTCTTGAATTCGAGTCCCGCTCGTGTCGTCATTCGTCAATTCCATATGGGTTTAAATTATATAACGATTATTATTATTATATTATAGATTTTTTTTTAATTTTTTTTTTTTAAAAAATTTTTAAAAAGTTTTTTAAAAAAAAAAAAAAAAAATAAAAAAAAAATATTATTTATAATCTTTCGTGTCAGTGCGCAGTTGAATATTCTATACAAGAAGTGGAAAGTAATTTTTAGGTATATTCCCCTTTTTTATGTTTTTTCGCAAAGTATAAAAATATAATTCTTTGTATTTTTTTCCAAAATTGGACTTAGTAGTTTATTATTGAATTAGATTTTTGGATTAAATAGAAAACAAATTAAAATAAACGGTTATTATTTTTGTAATATAAAATACTTATAAGGACGACATACTGTCTTAAACCAATCCAAGTTCTATTAGTTAACAGAGAGAGCCAGATTTATTGACGCCGTAACGCGTTACGTAACAGATTACTCTCCTTTGTAGAAGGAGTATTTATGTGATGTAAGAAGTAATTATTACAAAATCGAGATCATGTCAATGTTTATATATAATAATTAAACATAGAAAAAACAGCTCAAGAGACTGCTGTTATGCGTTACGTAACGGATTATTCTCTCTTGTAACTCAAGATATTTGAGTATTGTTTTATATCATTAGTTGTAATTATTTCATGGATATATGCTCTACCCAATACAAAAGTTTTTTTCTATAGAACCAATAGTTCCTGAGATTAGTTCTTATTTATGTCTATGTTTGTACAATAAAGACTTTTTATTATTATTATATATACTAGAATATTCCTATAGCTTCCACACTGTCGAGTACGTGCAGTAAGTTTGAAAAAGTCGTGTCGCGTGTGTGTGACAGGTAATTATCGGAGGATACGACGCGCGCACCTGTCGCCGGGACATGAGGACTTGATAAGTACTTGGCTCTTTGACATCTACCAGGATGTGGTAAAACAGCTGATTTACCAGCGAACATTTAAAACACATTGACGGGGTCGTTGGTGTAATGTTCGCATATGGCTGATAATCAAAGGTCGTGAGTTTGATCCCCACCAGGCCTAAATTGTTTCTAGTCAACTTCATTTGGAAATCTGGATATTAAATGGGCGGTAGGTAACCACCCTACACAAATCAAAAAATTGGAAAGTTTAATCGCGTTTCTGTTGCAGTCTGTGGATGTTCGAATATCCACAGTCAAAATGGGTCGATAGCGCATTGTTTAGACGTTGTATGACTGGGTATTTCAGCTACCATCAAAAGAAACACATGCCTCTCTCGAAGAATTAACATAGCTTTGTCGAAAATCTTTTATACGATCGACATAATGTAGTTTAGCCTAAGTGTCATTTAGTGGAAAATAAATAAAAAAAAATGATTTTATTCTTTTTTTCAATTTAAAAAAAACATATTTAGATTCGTCAAAAAATTCGTCCAGCTTTTTTAAACATGTCTTATAAACTAATACATTATTGTGAATTTATTGACTTCATTCATATTAACTTATTTTTTGGTAAGATAAATATTGTTCCTGCGTTTCTATTGGTCGCAGTGTTATGTAAAGCCTAAGCTTAGAGCTAAATAAATGCTCTAAGCAACCCGATCTTTTTCAAATCCAAAGCAGTAGTTCCCGATATTAGGGCGTTTAAACAAGCAAAATTTATGCTTTTAACAAGCTTAATGATATTAGTATAGATTTAGTTTCCTATATTGATAATGGCTTAGACGTACTTAGACTATTCTCTTCTTTTCTTTTCTATATATTTAAACGCTTAGTGGCGCCCTCACCACAATGCCGTCAAAACAATAAAACACCAATCAAGCTGTAAGCCTGATGCGAGCTGACGTAGCTGGGGGCTTTATAAGAAGCATATTGCGTTGGTTTTTTACACCCCAAGAGGGAGGTTAACAATAACCCTGTAAACTTAACTTGGGGCATAGATTATTGAGATTTTTTTTACGAAAGAAAAATCATTTATTCAAATTAAAGAGTCCTTAGTTCAATGGAATCATACACCGTCTTGATACACACTTTTAATATCTTCATTGAAATAAAACACTTTTAACGGTTTTAAATGCGAAAATATTATTTAACATCACGGTGGGATTACGATTATCAGCCAC